ACTCACTTGACTCAATGTACCTAGATGGGGCAGAGGTCGTCCACAGGACCTCGCAAGTCTTGCCAGCTCTCTTTGCCTCATCTGCAACTGTAAGGCGCCAGGTTTGCCTGGGACAGCCACGCTTCCGCCTTCTTGCGGGTTGCAATCAAGGGCCTTAGGTATATGATTGGGATCCCTACGGATTGTATGGTCTAACCATTTCCATTTGCGTCGCTTGATCTGCTGGGTAATCGGGGTTTCTCGGCAGCGCTCCTAAAGTTGCCGTGATTAGAATTACAGTGTTAAGTTAATCATTATTTCATTACATTAATTCTAAACTTGTCATTAGGATCTTCATTCATTTCATAATTGTGTACTACAGTTTCAATCGCGTTATTTTGGTCGTGTTAATTGTGTTCCTGAGATTAGCGCAAAACTTTAATATTAAAAATAATATAGTAGATACTTATTCATAGAACATTTAAAACATTTGAATAGAACGCACATTTATCGCTAACTAGCTAAATTTCTCAGGTAACTCAATAATTTCGTATCGTATATTCTGAGTCTGACCATATAACTAAAGATAATATCAATATTCAAAGCTTATACAAGATACAAACTAAAGCTTCAAAAAAATCCAAAACGATATAATAAACGCAGCTTCTACCTAGCCATTTGATTAATTAAAGGGTGTGTAATACAGTTTTTTTAGATATTCTTTTTCTTTTTTTTATCTAAATTTAACAAATTGTAGAAACATTTATACTACGTTTGGTCGCATTAGTTAAACATTTTATCATCTTTAGTTTCTTCGTCTTAAACGTTTCCTGCGATTTCAACTTCGATAAAAAAAGTTACCGTCTTAGGAACTAACCCTACAACAAAATAGCAAGAATCAAACACTATAAGTATTCTTTTTTAATGCCCTTGCCTTAATATGCTTAAAATTTACATAGACTTATGTTTATTAAACCGTTGTTAAAGCAAGACTGTCACAACTCACAATGCAATCCATTAAAATAATTTGTCGTACCGTTTCTGCGATGATTGCTCTTAACTTGAAATAGCCAAACCGTTATGTTTGTATACGTTTAGTAATGCTTTATGAAAAACTGACAATAATTGATATATCAACCGGTCCATTTGCATACCACTTGCCCTAGTTTGAGTTGGTGTAGGTTGTAAAATGACGTTTTTGTATGTGAAATTTATATCGGTTATAAAAAACGTGTTTTTGTACTCATAAAATTTACTTTTCGGTAGAAAATAATTAATCTTATAAACCGTCCGACTCTTATCCCTGAGGATCGAACCCCGGCTGTGCACCAATGGCCTTCCTTTCTATATGCAAATTTAACATTCGCAACGATGTAGGAAAACATCGTGAGGAAACCGATTTGCCTTAACCCAAAAAGTCGACGGCGTGTGTGAGGCACAGGAGGCTGATCACCCACTTGCCTATTAGATTGAGAATGGATCACGAAACAGATTCAGACATCGGAGGCCCAGACCTAAAAAGGTTGTAGCGTGTTTTATTTTGTTAATTGTGTTAGTCTTAATCTTTATCTGTAAAATTTTTATAAATTTGATTATGCACTTTACCCTTAGTATTTATTTTTACTAGGGTAGCCTGGACGAGATCGCTTGTTAGCGATCAAGCCGCCCGATGCCTTCTCAATTTATATATACATATATACCAAATATGAAATCCAACAAAGTGTTGATATACAAAAGACACGGGAGCTTAGTCAAAATTTGTCGACACGAACTGTCATTTGCATACAAATTTCGTTTTCGACTTTCTACATACACTACTGTTAAGGCATCTTGACTTAGCCCCACGGTATGAACAATACAGATACAAAATGTAATGTAAAATATAAAGGAATACTAGCTAACTCTATGGTTGGTACCATAGAGTATTCAGTCAGTAGTCGATTCACTAAGTACCGGATGCCTGGATTATCGTCTTAGGGACTTAATTTTTCCACGTCCACAGATAAAATCTCAGACACCTGTAGTAACTTATCAGGCTGTTATACGAAGTGACACCGGTGAAGTCATACCGGTTAGAGCTGGGTAAAGACGAAGCCAGTTTTTGTTACTTTATTACACCCTTAGGGATAAGGCTGAAATGGTACATGCAAAAACTGGTTTTGAAAAAATGCATTATATTGTCTATAAAAAGAGCTCTGGAACTAATGCAAAAATATAATGTTCCCAAACTATCATTAGGCTTTCCATAAACAATAAACGAAATTGGAAAAAAGGGTAGGTTTTCAATTTATTCGATAAAAGACAAATTAAAGCCAACTATATTTATAGTTAATTGTTGGCTGTAGGGAGCTGCCCATTTGCCCGATAATTAAATACATAGCATAAGTGGAGATGATTTAATACTAATTAAACCATCTTCATCAATTGAGTTTCGAGAGGTTTTAGTTTGTATATTTTTCGTTTTACTATTCCAAGGAGACTTACGGCCGCTTTCTATACTCAATCCAAATCCAATTTTTACAACTAGATTTTAATATTTCAATCCATTTTTCATAAAATAACCGACCGATGGATCGTTTTTGGAAAATATCTTTGAATTCGACGGTTCGGTATAAATTCGGAAATAATTTTAACATTTCGAGTATAGAAAGCGGCCGCTAGACAAAAACTTAAGATATTAATGATAAGTCTGTTTAAATAATAGAATCTGGTTATTATGTAAATCTTACGTTGCATAGCATCTATCTATATATGATATATCAAATTAAATGTATTAAGCTTTTATTATTTTAAAAGCTGAAGTAAAAAGCTAATTTAAAAAAAGATTGTTGTTCATCGTCGTGGTAACTTAATACTTAGTTTGTTATAAGTCTAAAGCAGTATTTATGATCAAAGTAAGTTGTTTTATATCTACCTGAATCGCTATCGTAAAGTAATTATTTTCTTTCTCAATCCAGATAAAAACAAAAAGTAAAATGATCGTCATTATGCAAGCTTGCGTGTATGCGCCGGAGCAAGGCCGCATCGGATCAATGACCTATGCAGCACCATCTAGATTTTTACAATTTATGTCTCATTTTATTGATATATCATTTTTGTTACTTATCTATCAGTATTAGTATTGAATGGTGTAAGTTGTATCAGAGTCGTCTAGGGTTTTTTTACGTTTGTTAATGTTTGTAAAAGGATAATAACGATCATATCGATATACCCTTATCTCATTGATATTGACTGCCAGTTCGCTCATGCGAAATTTTCAATAATCTTTAAGTAAGTTGATTATAATATCATAGAGTATAATATCATAAAATACAAGAATTACAAAATTATAATTGTCTAAGAACTTCGACAAGTTTAACGTATTTTTTACAAGTTTACCCTATCATTCAAAGCCATAGGGATATTATATATGTTTGTATATGTATTTAGTTGAATATAAATCAAATATGCATAAATGACGGTAGAGGCTGTCATATCACGAAAAGAGACTATAGTACACACCAAACGGTGAAAGGGGAGAAAGAAGAAAGATTTGTATTTTGTATAAAGCTCTAAAAAGTAAGGACCTATTCAAACTGAAATTATAATGAAAATAAATGGTGTTTCCATTTAAATTTAACCTTCAAATTTATATTGCGAAACCTTGTATTAATTATTTTACAACAATAATATTATTAAGACTTATAATTGCGAGAACTTGCCGAGTGCAGTAGAGGCGTAAATTATGTATGTATTTAAATTATTATCGTGGAACTTTCTTTGATATTTCTTTAGTATCGTTTGACTAGAAATAGGCAAATTGCGAACACTGCTACCACCTATTCTAATTGATCACTGTCTAAATCGGTATAACGGTTAATTTAACTCATGTGTTATAATGTTAATGAACTCAACACTTGATCATTTGAGTTCATAACTCATGTTCGTACCTACACTGTTTACATTTTAGTAACGCATTTCGATAGTCATTAAACATTCATTTTAAATAATGTTATTAGTTTTTATTAATATTAATCAGTGGCGCTACATGATTTTTTTAGGTTTGGTACTCAGATTTCTGTATCTGTTTCATGATCATTTGTCAATCTAATAGGCAAGTAGGTGATCAGCCTCCTGAGCCCGACACACGCCATCGACTTTTTGGTCTAAGGCAAGCCGGTTTCCTCCCGAAGTTTTCCGTCACGGTTCGAGCGATTGTAAAATGCGCACATAGAAAGTCTATTGGTGCACAGCCGGGGATGGAACCCACGACCTCAGGGATGAGAGTCGCACGTTGATGCCACTAGGCCAACACAGCTCTATATACTTTATGTCAATGAGACATAAAGTATTTAGAGCTGTGTTGTATATACAATAGTATAGTTTAGTTGGTTATGGTATTAACTGTAGATCATATTTGATTTCATCTAAATCATGATATATTACATTTGAAAACCACTGTGTTTAAAGCGCGACAAATGCTTATGAAAAAAAATCATCTACTTGTTTTTTTATGTTTAACTAGCCGCGCCGGTAAATACAACAACGTTCTCTCGCCATAGACGTTGTTTGCTCTTGAAGTATAGAGTCTGGTCTGTACTTCATGCTGTACTCATTTTTTATGTTATCTCGAAATACCTAAAATAATCATCCTTGCAACACCACCGCCCATAATGTAACCTCGCTCTTCTCTGTGACATTATAGTGACCACCACATTTTGTATGACTTTTTTTACTTATAAGTTAATCTAATAATAGTGATTAACCCATCATGTATACACGTTATAATTGATATAGCAATTAATATTATCTTTCGGGTTTTTATGTATCAATTAGAACATAATATATTGCTATTAAAATTTGGTAATCGAATTAATTAGTATTTCTAGATTGAAAAGTAATTAATTTAATCTATTCTCATTAGAGTTATAGTTTTTGTGTATTTAAAATATACTTTTACATTTTATTATTACGTTTTTTACTTTACCAACTTTAATCAAACTGTTTTATTTACATACATGTATTTTCTTTCAGATACAATCATGGGGAGAATAACGTTAACAATATTATTATGCTTCGTCGCTCACGCATTAGGAAGTAATGATGACAAATTTATCAAGAAATATGCTATGATGAAGGTAAAAAAAACAAAATAGTTCGCAGTCGGTAGGATTCGAACCTACGCTCCCAGAGGGAATCTGATTTCTAGTCAGACGCCTTAACCGCTCGGCCACGACTGCTCTTGATGCTAATTTTGAAATTAGTAACCACGTGCTTTATTTTTTCTGTTCATGATCAACGAATATTGTTTTCTAGCTATACAGCAAGAATTGAATTTATATTTACTTACAGCTTCAAACTTACGGTTGAAATATGATTACACACGCTTTAAATCTTTTACTTTAAATATATTATTAATATATTTCTATCATAATTTCGATTTTTTAGTTTAATTCATAAGATATTTTTTATATCTTTAGATTTACGAGAGTTGTTTCGGAGCAGAAGTCGTAAAACAAATAAGGCGGGAAATGAAAGAGGCATATGCGAAATGCTCATCACCGCCATCTTTTGAGGAAACTCCGAACCAGCAAATACCATCCATTTTGTTCGGCAAACTGCCGCCAGGGTTCGCAATAGACCCCAACACGCAAACAATCACCAAGCCCTCACCAGATGGCGCTGGGCAAAATCAAGAAAATGAATTGCCGAATCATGAGAAATTGCACGTCCAAAAAATTCCACTTAGCCAACTTCTACCCTTAAGATCTCAGCCGGTAAGTAAAAAAAAATAAAAACAACCTCCATCAATAAAAATCACCTGCCTCCTGTGAGGATTGAACTCACGACCCCTGGTTTACGAGACCAGTGCTCTACCACTGAGCTAAAGAGGCGACGAAAAGGAATGTGAAATATAATTACTTATAATTTTATGTTTGCACATCATTATCAATAATAATAAAATTTAACTCCCTTATAAAAATTTATTAACTACACATCTTCGATTACAAGCGATTCAATTATTTTTAACGCTAAGAAAAAAATACTTCTTAACATTATTATTCTTAATATAAACTTTTATTGACCTATATAGAAAATAAAGTACTAGAATTGTTAATTGTTTACTCTCAAATCAATATAATCAGATAACACCCGAAAATTGCAAGGATACCCTTAAAATATTTTTAGCCAACCTGGGATGTAATTGTTTGGCCCTATAAATTTGAGATAGAATAACAATATGTAATACCATGTATAAGGTATAAAAACATTTTTTTTCTCTGTTGTAATGGTTTTCTTTAGTTTTTTGTATTAATTGCATTTTTTAAACCTTTTAGTTCATAAAGGCACCAAGGTATAACCCCTTAGTGTTTTTTTGTTGTCTGTACTTTTAGTTTATATATTAAGCAAACAAATAATACAAAATATTTTTTTTATCATTACCACCAAATTTGTGATGTAGCAATTTGTTACTTAATACTGCAGAAACAAAAGCTAAAAAGTATGATTATCTGTCTATTGTGACGGACACATAAATCAATCATTCAATGAGTATATTGTTTGAAAAGTTATTATTATCATAAAAGTACTTAAAAAAAAACACTATAACATGGATTGTGTCCCACATAAGGATACTGTCATGGCCGCTTTCTTCGAGTTGGCTTTTGTGTATAGATATATGTTACAGTAATAGTGTTATATTTCCAGCCATTCCAGTCCCAACCAATACCTCCATACATGATGCCAACAAACCCGCAATTCAGACCGTTCAGTTCAGCGTCACCGTTCTATCAGTTCCCGTACCCCATGCCACCATATCAGTACCCTGGACAGTACAATCCCTACTATCAACCAATGCAGCAGTTTTATCAGCAGCCGCTCTACCCTTCTAACAGGATGTCGGTAAGCGGAATTGATTCATTATTTTTTATTTATTTTCTCAACAGTATTTATATAATAAAATATATCTTCCAACGCAACAACAATGAAAAAGCGAGTAATAGTAGAAATAATTTTAATACTAATTTAATTTAATAAACAAGAATTCAAGAAATTATAAACAAATTATCTCTTTTAAAAATTGTATAAAGCCGTATCGTGACCGCTTCCGTGCCTGAATTGGTATCTAACATGGCGGAGCCTGAACTCTGGAGCTACTTTCTCCGCAAAACAATGTTTTCGGCTTGTTAGGCACATTGCGGTGATCACTGAACCATTTTCCGAAAAATAAAAAAAACCATTTAAATTAAATTTAATGTTTGACTTTGTCTAGAAGCTCAACTGGCTCCAAACATTCATAATAGTTTTAGGTTATTTAATTATATTACTATATTTCAGCGAGACCTCGACCTCCGCGATCGCCTTGACATCATAACACGTGGTCCCAACGCCGGCAAAGTCAGAAATATTACATGCGTCATGCAAGAACTGGGTTATATAGATCATAATCTAGAACCTAACTATGAACAGATAACGCAGAGAATTGCTAACCTTCCAGTTTCAAGTGACCTGAAGGGAGACATTCAAGATGGCCTCCAGTTCTGTCAAAAGTTTTCGGTGAGTTTCAGCAAAATCAGTTTAGACCTGTGGCGCTACAACCCTTACTAAATCTGCTTTTAGGATATATGTGTTTCTATTTGAACTTTGACATATTTGACAGTGCTCATGCTTTGAGATGAAGTTAAGATAATTTGTGGAATACGTCTCTCTGTTTCATGATATATTTTTTAATAAGTAAGTGATGACTTCTGAGGAATGGGCAGCGCTTGCACCAGCACTAGTAACTTTTTTATAATAAAATCGTACTTTGATTGTAGTACATATATATTTAGGATATACTGTTTCTAAAACAAACGCTATCTCAAATTAATTTAATTATCATACATATATTGAATAACTACGTATTCATGTAGAGTGTGGCAGAGGAAGATGAAACTAAAACAAATGCCATCGAAATGAAAGCGTTAAGAAGTATGTATGGCGTAACATTGTGTGATAGGTGTAATACGTGAGCAGTGTAAAGGAGGTAATGACAGAATACGAAAGGAAATGCTTTAGTGGTTTGGCCGTGTAGAACGGATGAATAAGAAGCGGTTGACAAGATAACAAGGCAACCGTGGAAGGTGGAATCCGGTTGAGTAGGCCTTGTTGTACATACCTGGACCAAATCTAGGAGGTACTGGAGAAGGGATAAGTTAAAAGTACCCATAAACACGGGCGTGCTTGGTGAGTGTCACGAAAGTGGATGTCAGGACAGAGGTATGTCAGGACCTTAGTGGAGATCCTTAGTTTCTGCCCACTTTGAAAAAAAGGCGTGATAATTTGAAAAAATACATTTCATACAACCTTTGCAGCAATGTGTTCCGGATATGAAGCGCGACGTGTCTCCGCTGTCCCAAGAGCTAATCAAGCCGATGTTCTTCTTCAGATGTTATAAGGTAAATAATTTATCAGGTTTTTTCAATAAAAACTGTTTTTTGTAGATAAGCAACAATAAATTAAGATCTGAATGATCGAAATGTGTATGCTCTTAAAAGGCAAATAAATGAAATATAAGATTCTTTTTATTTTAACTATTGTCAGCTTAAGTTATAGAAACACGATTATTTGTAATGGATGAACTCTAAAACTACTGATTCAATCATGGTATAGGTCTATGTTACAAAATGGTGAAATAGTCTTTAGTAAATACGATTTAGATTTTAATTAAAAAAATGGCTCTTATAAGCCTCTAAGTATTATTGTGGGAAATATCAAGAAATATAATTTCATAATTAACTGTCATAAAACGATTGACAGTTGAGACATACAGTTCGATCTGTATGTGATTGTTGGAATGATGAATTCAGACTTCTAAATATGTGAATATCGTTGCTAACTACAAAATCCGAAACTTCAACTTATCGAAATCATCCTTTATGATTAAAATTAGTAGGCACCTTCCAAGTTTTGACGGGACATCTATACGAACATTAATAAAATTGGTGCGGTTGTTGGTAATCTCTGGATCAGATACTAAACTAATTTTGAAATTTTATACCCATACCCACGTTATTTGTGAGTTTCAAAGACTATCTATTAAACCGGAAAATGAAGAGACTTAACGCTGCCTTAACGATGATATATATATATATAAATATATATGATCTGTATGTCTGTCCAACTTAAAAACTACTCCACTGAATTTATTGCGGTTTTCCCTAATATCTAGAAAGATTATTGAGGAAGATTTTGCTATATAATTTGTCAAGAGTCACTGGTATATAATATAGGTAACTAGTTATTATCAGTATAATTTTAATTGTTACGCAATTAAAATTGCAGCACAAGAAACTAGAAGCCTGTATCATGAAAGATATTCGCGATCGGTTTACGAGTGAAGACGATTTGGAAACTGATGGTGATTTTAGGTAAGTTTTTATAAAATATTAAAGAAAGATAGTATTTTTAAAAGTCCCGTAGTCAATGCAGAGATGCGGATATATTTTTGTGTCTGTCAGTTATTTCCGAAACCAACTTCTTAGTTTCACTTTATTCTTCAATTCGAAGTCCGCAAAATGTTAAATCACATTTAAAAAGTTATTAGAGGTTATTCCGAACCAATACAACTAAGATTCCTTTAAGAGCGTACGAATTTCTAAAAGACCGGCAACGCACTCGCGAAGCCAATACCAATGTGAATTGGTGGCGGTGTCATTTAACAGCCTCCAACCTGTTTTTTTATAATTATATCACGGGAATCAAAACTAAAAGACTTGTGACAGGCCACAAGATTTATCGCAAATTTAAAGGAAAATATATTCTTATATAAATAAATAATAGTATTTTATATTCGTAGTTCTTATTGAAAGATTGAAAGTTTTTTTTATATTATACCTACTAGCTGCCCCCGCGAATTTGGTTTTGCTTAAAATGATTTTTTTTACTCGGCCTACCTTTTTAGTACATACCAACATATTATGACACATTTTGCTATGACCATAGACTGCTAGCTTTTCCGGAATAAAAACTGGTTTTTAGGTTTTTTCGTGCAACTTTTCCAATTTGTCTCTCCATAAAATCCTTCCACAGAGCTCAAGTAGTTAATAAAAAAAGTCAAATTGATCTAGTCTTCGAGTTTTGCGCTTAGCGACATATTTTTATTTATATAGATATAATATGTATAATATAAAATATACTCTTGTTACTTCTAACTCTACTTTCTCAATAAAAAATATGGATTTTAATTTCCAAGTTTCGATTATAATATTTTTACATAAGAAATTAAATTCCTCAGATCCCTCGGCAGATCAGGTCGTGCGCTCAAGGACGAGCCAATAAACGACCCCAGGTTCGATGCCCTGGATGAAATGGCTGTTTACCTATATGACTATTTAAGTGGGGGTAATGGACTTGACTATGATCTATATTTGTAAAAATTTATAGTATCAAATTGAAATATTCTTGTGACAATTTATATAAAAAAATATTTTTTTATATTTATATTATAATTAATTTTTATATCCATGATATTTATCGATACACAGGTTTAAAATTGTAATTATTTTAGCATAAGTGCTTTAATTTTGAATCTAGTGAAGGTCTCATACGCCTAACAATTTGACAGCAAAAATGGCGCCTATAGCGATTATGAAATATCATTAATATTATAAATAAAATATACCTCAGGTTTTCTGACGTAATATTATTACTATCCTATATACGGTCCTTTTAAATTTTACGCCTGCCAAAAACTAGAATTAAAATAGATCGAATTCTTGTGTGTGTGCAAAAGGCATAATTATGACAATTCCAAGTAATTTCATGATAGTTAGAAGTGTTTTTGCCCTTGTTAAATTATTAGGCGTTTCCCTTTAAAATTGAAAGTAGCGATAATTTTAGATTTTATATACAAAAAAGGTATTTTATCGACTGTCTTATTTAAGGAATAAGTTAATTGTTATGGCGCGTCTAAACGGGCCATGTTTTGCTGCAATTGATAGCTGCACTGTTGGCCACTAATTGCCCGGCCATTACAAAAATATTTTAATGCAGCTGATGGCCGAACAATCTATGGCTGGGCAATGTGTTGCAATATGTCTGCAATAGTATGGCTCATGACGCAGACTCCTAAACGGGCTACACAAACCGGCAACAATGTCTGACGAAATCACACTTGTCGCAGCAGCTTATATTGTTTTAAAAAAGAAACAGAAAAGAAGAGATTGTGGATTCGACCTTACTTAAATAGGCGTGAAACTGTAGACAATCTTGAGTCTAGAAATATGCCTTGATAATAAATTATTCAAGAACTTTACTAAAATGTCAAAAGTAGTCATTTTTAAGTAGTAACCTAACGTCAAAAACGTATATAGCAACAGGCACACTTCACTCATAGCAAACTTCATGTCGCGTAGAAAAGGATACACTGTGCCATAACAAAGAGAGTGACTGAAACAACAATAGAACTGGCTGTGCAATATTGCAGTTGAATTCGATAGCCTAGCGAGCGTCCGGCCACCCATCGGGGCAACATCGGCCATATGTGGCTATACAAAACATGTTTGACTATATGGCCGGGACATTACTGCAATATTGCATAGTGTGGCTGCTATTGTTTGCAATGTTGCCGGCCACAGTGTTGCAGCCATCAATTGCAGCAAAACATGGCCCGTTTAGAAGCGCCATTATAAAAACTAAATCAGATTCATTGCACCATTGCAACTAAACGGATGTCTTGTTTCATACGTAAACAGAATGTGAGAGGGAGACAACACACACTGATTTAGTTTTAATAAAGAAGGGAGTAGATTTTTTAGTTCTTTAGTGTAGTCTTATTTCACATGAAAGAAACATATCACGTTTTTATTACATCAATGGTTTATACATTATGTACTTATAATTTACAATTTCAAATCCATTGAATTTTTCTAGTATAATTTAAACAGAGTCTTGCCACTAAAAGCTGCTATATGTAAGATTGATTTACTTTGCCTAACAATGCCTATATAATATTTTATATGTAACAACATAACTTTCACGACGTAGCCATAACTTGAAGCCGCTACAATGGGGGTTACATATTGATGGCTTTCAGACGAATACTACAAAAAATAATCTAAAATTCTGAAAAGATGTATCAAATACTTGAGATTTTTAGCAAAAGCTAAAAGTGTATGTGTGAACTTTAGAAATTTTGTGATATGTATCTGTACGTATTACACAGATTAATAATATCGAAATGCCAGGTCACAAACTTTTCAGCTCAACTTAACTTACTAGTAATAAGTTAGGAAAAAGTAATACTTGCTGCTTCGATGCTCAAATAGACTGTAAACTTTATGTTAAGTAATGCCATAGGCATTTAACTGCATGTACACTCTATACTTAAGTTACACTTTAGGGTTTTGGTTTAAATGGGACAATGGTTTGCTGTTGTTATGTATTTAAGACTCCACGTTAATTTGTACATTAAAAAACATGAAATTATTTTTTACTTATTAAGAAAAGAAAAATTATTTATTTTATTAAAATGAAAAAACACTTAAAAAAAATGGCCCCAAATCAGTTAAAGTAGCTGTCACCAGCAAGACTGATTATCAGTGGGCCCATACTTTCTTGGAGTGACAGCTATACATTATAAACAAAAATGAAAACCATTTAAAGTAAAATTAAACAAACAAACAGAAGTTATTTGCATAATGTATTGTTGCATGAGCTTAAAAAAGCAATGACTTCGTGCGTATATCTGTTAAATAGGTGTTTAAACTCCGAAAATCATTTCATTTAATAATATTATCTATTTAACATGTTTAATGTTAGAATTAATATAAAACAGCAAACCATTTCAGTTCTTGTCAATATGGCTGTAAAGCATATTTGGCAATTACATTAAAATTGCATTTATATTTATGAAGTAATACTCGTTAGTTTTAAGCTTTATTCAAAATAAACGTTGAACGTACCACTGTTGTTTTTGTGATCTTGTCTTTACATTTTTGCTTTTAATAGCTCATACAGCTAGTATCATAAATGCTGAGTACCTACTGACGATTGTGTTGTCGGGGATCGGCTCCCAACCTTGGAGTTGTGGGGACTGTAAAACTATGAAGTCTATGAGTTATGGAGAGGAACTCGAACTATTCCGGTAAAATCTAATTATTTCTTGACATACGGGAATCATAATCCAGGATCTGGAATCCAGGATGTCCAGAATGAGCATATTGATAAACGAGTTGGGTTTAGCCATAGTTGTCCCCTCACACTTTAAAATCGATTTTCGTTTAGTTTTTATATTTTCATTGTTTTGTTTAATTTCTTTTTATTATCTCTTATATGTTATGTTTGCCTTAACACATTAATAATTGAACTTTATTTTTATTGTACCAATGTATCAGTGTGCTCAGCGTTGGCAAGCTTTTATTATTAAATAAATAATCAGGAATCTATGTCTCGACTCCTTACCCTATGTACATTTGTACATTAACTCTTTCAAGAGTCTTAATCTTAGATTTTTGTGCATTAATGATTAATACAGAAAAATCTATGCTTTTTTACCAGCTATGTACCAATCACAATATTATAATACTAGCTGGTACCAACTCCGTCCGCATGGGTTTTACAGTTACAAGTACTTTATACATACAGAAGCAATAATTAGTTTATTTAATTAATTAGTTTGGAGTAAAATAGATATTTATGAATTTTATCTTAAAATATTTTCAAAAGTCGTGAACGTTTCTCCGAACTATTTATCCTTTGCTGAAAATCGACAAAAGTTCAGTGAGTTCGGAGATTACTATGTTCACAGGCAAACAGAAATTAAAAATCATAAATCTTTTTCGTGCTGTATTTCTCAGTCCTTATTCGATATTGGTGTTTTAGACGTATAGACATGACTTCAACCCTCTTACAGTACAGAAGAACAGATAGAACTTGACCCACTTAATGTTTTGATTAATAACATTCTCGAGAAGTAAAATTGCTACTAGTTGGTAATAACTACAGTAGTGTGTCATACGATCATTACTTTTAAATCAAACAAAATTCTATAGAATTGTAGTTATTGTAATTTTTTCCAAAACATCGCGTGCCTCACATGGGGTGTGTAAAGGTGAATGTCTATCAAAATAATATCAAACGTCAAGCAAGGCGATTATCGTGTCAACGCGTATTAAGAATTTTATTGCGGCAATTTTATAGTCAAATATTTATAAAACGTTTTGTTATACAAAGTTTTCTTTATAACAATGAACCTATATCAAAATTTCGAAGAATTCATTTAAATTCCTTTACTGACCAAGACACTGTCAATGTAGCTTTTACGTTTAAAGTATTTTTTTGTATTTACTAACGAAAACTTTTAAAGAATATTATATACAGACAGTCCTCGACTTACGTCGTTTCAAGTTACGTCGAACAATGTTTTGACACTATTCCTCATACGTCATTTGTTTCGATTTCCGGCATAGGAGAATTCACTTGTCTTGTGCAAATTTGGAGAATGCCATGAACATTTTTGAAGATAAATGATCCTAATTTTGAGTGAAGTTTCAACGTTAATAACAAAATGTTTGCAGCCTATCAGTGTTACCAAGATCTGTATGATAGCAAGAAGAAAGAAGCGAAGCAATCTAAAATTGATAGTTTCTTTAAGCCAAAAGTTTAATTTATAATTTTAGTACATATTAAAGTTTTATAACTATTATTAAAATTAATAACACACAAATATCAAAAATAACTAGCAATTTCATAAGTGCATATATAATTATTTTAAGAACTTACTTTTGATAATAAAGTATGTATACCCTTTGATATAAATGAAGTTTTGTTTTTAATTTCGAGTCCGTGTGGATCCTAACCCTTGAGTTTTATATGTAAACATAGGAAAAAATATGTCTCGACTTACGTCGTTTCGATTTACGTCGCGTATTTCGAGAGCCTAACGTGCCGTAAGTACGAGGACTGCCTGTACTAACAACTCGTAGCGACACCTACATTCTAAGGCTACCATCACATGACCTGATACCCTGAAATCGCTAACGAAGTTAATCCGTCCGCTTGAATATATACAACTTCGCGACCTTAGCCTCTGGGGCCTTCGGGTCAGTTATAAGTTAGACTGGTCGCAGATCATCCCTTTAGGTTGTAGGAACTGACCACATCGTGTGGTGGGATGTGGACTAGGCTTCGCTGTTACTTGTCCTGTCTCGGGCGATTGCTGGTGGCGCCGTGGGGTGTTAGTTGGCATGCAGAGAGCGAGTCCCACTAAACCTCCATCACAAGGCGCATCGCGGGAAGATATGCGTAACGCAAACATTTTATGGACTCTTTTCGTCTGAATTATTAATTAATTATTACAAGGTTCAAACTATAATAAAAGAATCATGTTTGAGTCTCAATATCTATTAAGAAAGTGAAACCAGACGAAAAATAA